TGGGCCATGCCTCTGTACGTTGCGGTTCACACCCTCACCCTCGCTCTCTGCTTGCCCTACGCCGTTTTCTTCGAGGCGGCTGCTTCTCTCCTGTTCGGTTTCTTCCCGGCGCTTCTCTGCGTTTTCTCTGCCAAAATCTTGGGAGCTTCCCTGTCCTTTTGGATCGGCAGGTGCGTAGGAATCAATCAACTACTCCCTTCCATTTCGAGTTCAGTTAATGTTTGCTAAATTGATATTGATAGCGAAGAGCTGATCTGGTGAAAGTAGTAAAGTATGGATTTGATGGTTGCTAGGAGAAGGAATATGAAATGACCGAATGACAGCAACGAGCATTGTTGTTGATGATGATTTGCTTCATTGAAATGTTGGCCAAAGCCAAGTAATTAGGGTTCTTAGAAAGGATATATGGGAGAGAGTTAGGTTGCCTCATATCCCACGCTTATGCAATCCTGGTGGTTCTTTCACCTCTGCCCAATTCAGGGTGTTGGTTTGTGGTATACAATGTGCAGTGCTGAGAGTTTAGAACCCTACATTGTAACCTATGACTGCTGACTCCACATTGTGTACCACAAATCAAAACCTGATTCAGCAGTCATACCACTGCCTTTCTCCACGTTCACACATTAGCCAGTGATTCCACTGCAGATCTGTAATCCGCATCAACCCTGGTACTCCCTCCCTCTTTCAAAGTCAATAGCTCGAGGTGTCTATGTTGTTCTGTTGAGCGTTGACTTCCATACCCTGTGCCAATATGAATTGCTCTCACTCGTAACTAGCAGATGTTGCCAGTCCTTAGTTATCAGATTATAATTCTCTTGGAACGATATGTACGTTGTTCAGGTCCAATACTATACTATAGGGCACAGATACCAGTATTTCTTTTCTCTACCGGAAGTAGCTACTTGTAGTATTTGGTGATGCACTCCAAAGTCAAACTATGTAGTGTTTTCATGACTTTGTGATATGATTCCACCCATCAGTCAGGTTGTCTGTCAGTCCAATTGATTAACTAATTTATATGCCTTACGGGGAATCTATCTTTTTGTCGTGACGGTGTTTATGATTTTGCTCAGGCTAGTTTTTAGGAGATCAAGCTCAGCAGCTGGGTGGGTGCAGAGGAATAAATACTTCCATCTCCTTTCAAGGGGAGTTGAGCGAGATGGTTGGAGATTTGTCCTTCTGGCACGCTTCTCACCTGTTCCCTCTTACATGATAAACTATGCTCTGGCTGCCACTGGAGTTGGCTTCTTGGTGGACTTTCTGCTCCCTACAGTGGTTGGCTGCCTGCCTATGATTCTGCAGAATACATCCATTGGCAGCCTTGCTGGTGCTGCTGTTGCTTCTGCATCTGGTTCTCAGAGATCTAAGGTTTGGTCATATTTGTTTCCCTTGCTTGGAATTACATCTAGCATTATTATCTCCTTGAGGATTAGAAAGTACTCCTCTGAATTTGCAAAGGTTGCAAGTGATCCTAGTGGTATTGCTGACGTTGGCAATTCGTCTCCATCCCTACGTGGCAATCAAGGTAAAGCTGACTAGGATCATGAGAAATCAACACCTTGAGCGAGTTAGTATTGACAGTTTTTCCTCCGGCAGTTGCTGTTCCAAGTAATATCTTTTATGAACTATAGCAAGATATAGTAAACAAATTTCTGTTGGAAGTCACTCATTATTTCAATCCCTGCTTTGCGGACCATATTTGGTGACTAAGAGAAATCCTTTAGTCGATTTTCTATTCTCTCTCTCTCTCTCTCTCTCTCTCTCTCTCTCTCTCTCGAGCATTACTTGAGTAAGAAGTAAAAAGTGTATTTGAAAGAGTTGGTATAACAAGGCAGCTGACTACCTAGTGAAGAAAGGTCATTCTTTTAGTTTTGGCATTCATGGGTTTCATTATTTTGATCTAGACTAGGTTATGTTTGACGTTATGGACAATACCCAATCTCATAACTTAAGTATAAGGCAGGGGCAGGCCGAGTGGTCGAGTGGAGATAAATTCTGTCTGTTAAAGTTCTTGGCTCTCCATAAGACCATCTACATCCATGAAATATCATTTCTATTCCATATGTGGCCCCTACTGCCACATCAACAGCTTTTTCTATTTCACTACATATCACTTTCATTTCCTCTACATCCATGAAATCCACTATCTATTTCATATGGTGGGTCCAGCTTACTTTTTAATACATCTATACATTTATATCTAACCTATATGATTTTACCAATTTAAGATGTATCAAATAATTAAAATAATATATTGTAATTATTTAATTATCAATGATGAAATAAATTTATTAATTCATTAAAAAATATATTATAGCTTTATTCATTGATTAAAAAAATAACTTATGGAATTTAAATGGTAGACTTAAATAAACACACGTAAATAACACAATTACTATTGCAAATAAACACACTTAATACAAATACATAGAAATAAGGATACTGCTTCAGGCCAATATACTTCATCATCCTCTAACACAAGCATGCCTCCCACTGGAGATTGTGAGGTCGTTTCTCATTCTCGTCCTCCAGGAAGAAAAGCGTCAAAGGATAAAGGTAAGAGATCATCTATGTCATCTGATTCGGTGGAAAGTATGCAAGCAACAGTGCAACAAAAAATTAGTATTGAAGCATGAAAGGTAGAGGCATTGAAAGAGTTCACGGCTGCAAAGGTAAGACTCGAGGAGGAACGAGAGAGGAAAAGAGAGGAACGAGAGAGGAAGAAAGAAGCATATAAGAGAGATAAGTTAATTGTGAAATTGATGGAAATGGATCTATCAACGATGACAGACGCACAAAAAATGTTGTATGAAAAGAAAATCCAAGAGTTACTGGGCGATAAGTGATTTTATTTTATGCTTTGAATAATTTATGTCGGTGTGTAATGATGTACGCGTATTTGGTTTGTGTTACACGTTAAGACTTCTATATATGTATTGTCGTATGTGTATTTAATGTTTTTTATTAAGTATTATATATATATGTATTTAATATTTTTTATTGTCATATATATATATATGTAATGCGTGTTCATATTTTAAAAATTAAATTACAATGTGTTACAAACTACAAAACAAGATGGAAACGAAAAAAGAAGGAAAAGAGCAAAATGTGGGATAGAGGCCCACTCCCCACCCACGTGGCATTTCATTGGGTCTTCCATCTAGTGAAATCTTCCAAATTGTGAAATAGGGGCTGCATTCATGATATGAGAAATGGGAGGTGCCACGTCAAAATGGAAGAGCTTCCTGACAGACGTTGGGGATGCTCTAAGCGAGCTGATCACTTAAATTTTGCTTCCGTACCAAGCAAAGTAATCCTCAAACACGCCGGATTAAGTACGTAAATCATATAATCGTGATCACATGCACTCGACTTACTTCTTCCCCGACCTTCCTCTTCCTTTTTTTTGATAAAGGTGATATAATATTAAGAAAATCAAAAAGGAAACAAAAGATACAAGGGGAGCAGGGGAAACAAACCACCCCAGCAGAGACGGCCAAACAACAGAAAACCAGGGCCACTCCTCGACACAGACCCAAGGATGAAAAGGCCAGCAACAGCAGCTAGCCGAACAAGCCGAAAATGCCGGGGACTAGATACTATAACAACACTCCTTGTGTTGTTATTATAACAACATTAGTCTCAAATCAATAGGAAGCTAGGGTTGTGATGACTTTTTATTAGATGAGTTGACCTAGTGTAAAATCAAAGAAGGGGTATAATTGTTATTAAGAAAAATCTATTTAAATAAAAAAATAAAAAAAATAGTTTTTTATTTTCTGACAAAAAATTTGGTCGCCGGAATTCCGCCACCGGTCGCCGGAAAATGGTCGCCGGTCACCGGAATATGCTTACCGGCATCGGAATATGCTTATCGGCGTCGGAATATGCTTACCGGCGTCAGAATCTAGTCATCGGGGCCGGAATATGCCTATCGGCGTCGGAATATGCTAACTGACGGTCACCGGAGTTCGGTCAACGGTCTTCGTTGACCGGATGCTATGGTCTGCATTGTGAGATTTATGGTTTGGTTTCTCACATTTTTGTATGCCTTTTGTGGTTTGCTTTATCGCGTTTGTGGTTTGCATTGAGAAGTTTTTGGTTTGTTTTATCGTGTTTGTGGTTTGCATTGAGAAGTTTCTGGTTTGCTTTCAAAAACTTTGTGGTTTGCATTGAGGGGTTTGTGGTTTGTTTTAGGAGATTTGTGGTATGCATTAGGAGGTTTCTGGTTTGTTTTTGTGGTTTGCTTTAACGTGTTTGTGGTTTGAATTATGAGGTTTCTGGTGTGTTTTTTAAAATTTTGTGGTTTGCTTTGTGAGGTTTCTGGTTTGTTTTAATATATTTTTGGTCTGCATTAGGACGTTTCTGGTTTGTTTTTGTTGTTTGCTTTACTGTGTTAATGGTTTGCGTTATGAGTTTTCTGGTGTGTTTTTGAAAATTTTGTGGTTTGCTTTGTGAGGTTTCTGGTTTGTTTAAAGGGATTTGTGGCATGCATTGAGAGGTTTCTGGTATGTTTTTTTTGTTTGCTTTATCGTGTTTGTGCTCTGTATTATGAGCTTTCTGGTGTGCTTTGTGGTGTTTTTTGTTTGTTTTAGGAGAGTTATGGTTTGTATAATAAGGTTTTTGGTGTGATTTAAAAATATTTATGGCTTCACTTTGTGGTGCATGAGCTCTAATCGTCCGCCTTCTTTGCTCTTTCTCCTCTTCCTTCTTTCAAGTCCAAAGTGTACCGAAATCGGCGAGAAGCATTCAAAACCAGCGCTGCTTGCTGTGAAAGAAAGACCAGTACGACCAAACACCTTTAGTCCAATCCCCATGGATAAACAAAACCACTCGCTTCACAGATTAACTTTGCATGCACTGAAAATATCAATCCCTAAGAACTGGACGAATTCATCTCCGACACTATTTCATCACACCCTCAGTTCAACAACGCCACCAATTAACTACACGTACCGATCTCATGCAAATCCATAGATTCTTCGCTTTCGATCCCTAGATTTTCCCCCGACGAGCCCCGGAAGGGTGCCGACATCCTCGTGGAAGCTCTCGAGCGCGAGGGAGTCAGCGATGTGTTCGCCTACCCGGGCGGTGCTTCCATGGAGATCCACCAGGCTCTCACTCGCTCCAGAACCATCCGAAACGTCCTTCCCCGCCACGAGCAAGGCGAAGTTTTCGCCGCCGAAGGCTACGCTCGTTCCTCCGGCAAGCCTGGCGTTTGTATCGCCACCTCCGGCCCCGGGGCCACCAATCTCGTCAGCGGCCTCGCCGACGCTCTCCTCGACAGTGTCCCACTCGTCGCCATTACCGGCCAGGTGCTGCGCCGCATGATTGGAACCGACGCCTTTCAGGAGACTCCGATTGTTGAGGTAACTCGATCCATTACCAAGCACAATTATCTGGTTCTCGATGTGGATGACATTCCTAGGGTTGTGAAAGAGGCGCCGGAGTAGGGTTTCTCCGCCGGAAGAGAGTTTGAATTTGGGAATCGGAGGAGAACGCTCGACGGAGAAGGAGAAGAGAGCGGGGGGAATTGGATTTGGGGATCTTATTAATTGTTATTTTTTTTATTTTTATTGTAAGTTTCCAGTTTTGCCCTTAATGAATCATGTTGTTAGTATAACAACACTTAAGGTGTTGTTATACTATCTGGACCCAAAAGGCCGTGGATATTAGGACAGTTGACTGATTTGTAAAAAGGACTAGAACTCTAGGACTTAGATTATGTAATAGGATAGTATAGGTACTCAAATGTAATTAGATAAATAGGATTAGTTAGAACAGGATTAACAACCTCTCCCGCTTACAGTATAAAATCCCCAATGTAAAGCTGACTCTGTAACTTTTTCTGCACTAATTCATTCGGAAAACTGGGGACAATGCTTGGTTTCCCAGCCACTCAACGAGAACAATTTCTCGAGCTGGGAACGATCGATGATACTGGTCATCGATGGCAAGAACAAGCTAGGGTTTCTTAATGGCAAAATCCCTCAGCCGGCTGAAGATTCTCCTCTCTTCGATTCTTGGAGTCGCAACAACAAATTGCTGCTCAGCTGGATTCAGCGTTGTCAATCCCACGATTGCAGAAAGCATTCTCTACATTACAACTGCAGCTGGTGCTTGGTCTGAATTGTGCGAGCAGTTTTCTCAGGGCGATTCTTTCAGAATTGCTGATCTCCAAGAAGCGATTTTCAGTCTCGAACAAGGTACTTTGAGCGTCTCTCAGTATTACTCTAAGCAGCGTGCTCTATGGGATCAATTAGCCAACTATCGATTCATACCTGACTGTGATTGTGAACCTAGCTGCCATTGTATTCTTGCTTACTTACGCAAAGATTACATGAATGACAAGGTCATTAGGTTCTTGCGTAACTTGAATGATAACTTCAATGGACCTCGATCCACTGTTATGCTTCTTGACCCTTTACCCCCAATCAATAAGGTTTTTGCCATGATGGTTCAACATGAAATGGAAAATGGTCTTCTTCCTAAGCCTGTCAGTAACCCACAGAATCCAAATCCTGCTTCTGATAGTATGGCTTTCTTCACTAAGGCTTCAGGACAGAATTTGGGGGTTCAAGGGGCAGGTCAGGGGTTCAAGAAACCGAGGATGTTTGCTATAAGAAAAATGGCTATCCTCCTGGTTATCAGTCCAAGAAGAAGGTTAACAATCCTAGGCAAGCCAATAGTGTCTCAGTTGAGCATGGTCCATCTTCTACTCCTGTCATGATCAATCCTGCTGAGTGGCAGAACTTCCAAGCACAGTATCAGCAGATGCTTAGGTTCATGCAGCCTTTTTCTGGTCAATCTGGACCACCACAGTAGCAGGCCAACTTTGCTCCAGCACAGCAAAGTGTTCAGCAGCCTCCTCCTGGGTTTACAGAAGCCTACAATGCTAACAACCCACCACATTACACTACATCTAATGATAGTGAAGGCTCTGGGCAGCACAACATGATTAGCAGAGCCAACTCAGTGGCCTCTCACATCTTTGATAACACTGAACCTCAAGGTACTAACCCTCATTTTGTGTTATCCACAACTTGTACTTTACAGAATCAATGGATTCTTGACACATGGGCTACAGACCATATAATATGTTCACTTAGTCTGTTTTCTTCCTACAAATTAGTTACAAATACTTATGTTCATATGCCTAATGGTGGCAAAGTAAATGTTACAGCCATCAGTAGTGTTAATTACTCACCTACCTTGATTCTGCATAATGTTCTATATGTGCCAGAATTTAGTTTTAATCTCGTCTCTGTTAGCCAGTTAGTCAAATGTCCAAACATTTGCTTATGGTTCTATTCTTCTTTCTGCATTATTCAGGAATTCCCCAATTTGAGAATAATTGGAACAACTAGCTTGTTGAATGGCTTATACATTCTTCACACTCCACAACAAACACAGCAGTTGCAAAACACTACTCTACAGCTTCACATCCTATTGATTTGTGGCACTACAAACTCGGACATGTTCCAGCAACCAAGAGTACTCATCTCAAATTACTAGATTCATCTGTAACTAGGCTTTCTGACTTTCACTATACTGTGTGTCCTCAGGCAAAACAGAAATGATTGCCATTTTCTGCAAGTACTAGTCAATCTACAGCCAAATTTGATTTGTTACATATTGACATTTGGGAAAATGCCCCTGTTCAATATTTTCTTGGTCATTCCTATTTTCTAACAATAGTGGATGATTACTCCAGGCATACCTGGATATTTCTCATGAAATCCAAGTCTGAAGTTAGACCTATTATCATGTCTTTCTTTGATTTTGTTCAAACTCAGTTTAACTGTAGAATCAAATGCATAAGGACAGATAATGGTCTCGAGTTTAATATCCCACAATTTTATCAATCCAAAGGTACAATACATCAAACAACCTGTGTTTATACCTCTCAACAAAATGGAATTGTTGAGAGGAAACACCAGCATATACTTGCTGTCACAAGGGCACTTTTATTCCAAGCATCATTACCTGCAAATTTCTGGAACTTTGCAGCAATGCAAGCTGTACACTTGATTAACAGAACACCTTCTACCCTTTTAGCTAATCTGACACCCTATGAAAAACTTCATGGCAACACACCATCAATAGCTCATCTAAGAGTTTTTGGTTGTTTGGTCTATGCATCCACCATTCAAGCAACTAGGACCAAACTGGACCCTAGAGCACAGCCTTGTGTTTTCTTAGGCCATCCTCATGGTACTAAAGGATACAAGTTATATAATCTAAACACAAACAATATCATTATCTCTCGTGATGTGGTTTTTCATGAAACCATTTTTCCTTATTCAACACAGACCACAACCAGTTCTGTTCCCTTACCATTATTTCCAACATCATTGTCTGATCTGGAATTCACTAATGCTTCCACTCCTCAAATTTAAATTAGCCCTCCCATTAATGATATTCATCATACATCAGTAGCACCACCTACTGTCACTCCATTTCCCTCTATTCCTCATTCTTCAGTAGTACCACCTACTACTAATCCATCCTCCTCAGTATCAACTACTTCAGACACTCTACCTCCTACTCAATCTCTTCGCAGGTCTTTGAGACAACCAGTACCACCAGTAAGTCTAAGAGATTACAAATGTAATCTCCTAAGTCAACAGAACCCAATCACATCTACTGTTAATTACCCTATTCAGGCATTACTTTCTTACAGTTCCTTGAGCTCTCAACACAAGAAATTTTCTCTTTCCATCGCTTCTTACAGAGAACCTAGGACTTTTAAAGAAGCTGCTACTTCTGACAAATGGCTATAAGCTGTTAACTCAGAATTCTCTTCTCTTGAAAAGACAAAGACATGGGTTCTTGTAAACCCTCCCAAAGACAAGCCAATCATTGGCTGCAAATGGGTTTTCCGGTTGAAATTTAAACCTAATGGTGAAATTGATAAATACAAAGCCAGATTAGTGGCCAAAGGTTATACTCAAACACCTGGAGTTGACTACTTAGACACGTTTTCATAAGTAGTTAAGATGATCACTGTACGAATTTTATTAGCTCTAGCATCCATTAACAACTGGTTTTTGGAATAGCTGGACGTCAATACAGCCTTTTTACATGGGGACCTCAATGAAGAGGTATACATGAAGCTTCCCCCAGGCTTACCTGTTCACCCTTCTGACAAAAACAAGGTCTGCAAGCTAACCAAATCCTTGTATGGTCTCAAACAAGCAAGCCGCCAATGGTTTGCCAAGTTGACCTCCACACTCGAACAACTTGGATACACAAAATCCTACAGCGACTACTCCCTGTTCACTAAAGCTTCTGGTTCTTCCTTTACAACCCTCTTAGTTTATGTCGATGACATTATCTTAACTGGTAATGATCTACAAGAAATAAAAAAGGGTCAAACATCAACTAGATATTGCTTTTACTATAAAAGATTTAGGCCAGCTCAAATACTTCCTTGGTATGGAAGTCTCTCGTTCAGAAACTGGTCTCCACCTCTGTCAAAGAAAATACACTTTAGACTTACTCTCTGACACTGGTTTTCTAGCATCAAAACCTGCTACCACTCCATCTATTCTTGCTACGGTGCTACCCATCTCTCGGCTAATGATGGAGAACCACTCAGCACACTAGCTCATAGTAGCTATAAAACACTCATTGTGAGATTACAGTACCTATGCAACACGCGTCCCGATATCTGCTACACTGTCAATCAACTTAGCCAATTTGTTGATGCCCCAACAACTGCTCATGAGCAAGCCACTCATCGTCTCCTTCGATACCTTAAAACTACACCCGCCAAAGGCCTCTTTTTTCCCAACAATTCCTCCACCCGCCTTACTGCTTTTTCTGATTCTGATTGGGCAGGATGCCCTGACACGCGATGATCAGTGACGGGTTTCTGTATTTTTCTAGGGAACTCTCTGATCAGCTGGCGATCTAAGAAGCAACAAACAGTCTCTCGTTCGTCCGCCGAAGCAGAGTATAGGGCGCTTGCCGACACATCACAAGAGCTTCAATGGATGTCCGCTTTGTTTCAGCAACTGCCAGTCCAACCCAAGCAACCATACCTCATCTACTGCGACAGCCTCTCCATCGTCAAGATGACTGAAAATCCAGTTCAACATGAGAGGACCAAACACATTGAAGTCGACTGCCACTTCACTCGAGATCAGGTCTTAGCGAACAAATTAAAGGTGCAACACATCTCCACTACGTTACAACTGGCAGACCCATTTACAAAGGCTCTCCCTGTTCATACCTTTGTTGAGCTGATCTCCAAGCTTAACATGAAATCAATCCATGTTTAGCTTGCGGGGGGTATTAGGACAGTGGACTGATTTGTAAAAAGGACTAGAACTCTAGGACTTAGATTATGTAATAGGATAGTATAGGTACTCAAATGTAATTAGATAAATAGGATTAGTTAGAACAGGATTAACCTCTCCCGCTTACAGTATAAAATCCCCAATGTAAAGCTGACTCTGTAACTTTTTCTGCACTAATTCATTCTGAATCAAGAAAGATCTTCTCTTCCATCGAGTCTCTAGCACTGGGGGAAAAGAGAAATGCAAAACAAACTCTACCAGGGCGACAGACAGAGGGTCCTAGAAACAGACGGAGAAGACAGCAGAGACACACACGAGGAAGATGGCAGGAGAGCCGCCACTGAATGATCTGCAGAAGTCAAACCCAACAAACAAAGGGGCTCACAAGCAGCCCTCGACCCAACACCATAAGCTGTCGATTCCCGGGGGGGGGGGGGGGGGGAACAATCTGCTTTTCAACACTCCTAGCCAGTTCTTGGTGACTTCTCTGTCGACTTTCGCAGCAGCAGCAAGCCATTGGGAAATAGCACAAGCAATTTTAAAAGCAACCACATAGGGAGAGTTTTCGGAATCAATGAAGACTCTCGAATTTCTTTCCAGCCACAGGTTCCAGCAAAAAGCGCGAAGGAACGGTCCGGTGGCGGAGGGAGAGGGTAACAGGGTGGGTCCCGGGACCTACCCTGATTCGGGGGAAATGGTTAAATTAGGTACGATAGTTAATTGATATCGAAAACTAGGTCGCGTTTAATTGAGAATAGTTGGTCGAAAAGTTTTGTGTTTGAATCTTGGCAACCTCATTTCTTAAGCATGCGGTATACAGATTTGTGCAAACATCAATTTCGTATAAGTTGACTTTCTTATAAGGGAGCATGATAGTAAATGGTATAATATATTATTGAAATCTTCCAACAACTCGATTTATTGATACTAATTTTTTTTTAAGAACATCATTCGAAAGCGAACGACTAGGTAAATCATGAATTATTGGTTGGTATAAATTTATTATTAAACCTCTATCAACAACTCTAGGTATTGATACTAACGATTCTTAAAAAAGAACACCATTTGAAGCACTACGAGTCTACGAGACTACGACTAACTAAATCAATGATTGTTTGGTATATATGCAAAGTGATATTCTTGATATTTTCGACTGCAAATGCATTTTATTTTATCAAAAGTTTTCAACGTAAGATTATATTAAAAAATCTATTTTATCATATTTATTTTTTTGAGGTGGACCCACCTTAAACGAAATCCTGACTACGCCACTAAGGAACCCCCTAGATGACCACATCACTAACCTGTCCGCCACAACACTGACCTTGCATATACTGTCTTCAATCCTCACGAACGGCCGCATTAGATTCCACGTCTCCTTCGCAAAGCTGCAACTCACGAATAAGTGGTTAACACTTTCCTTCTCAGCCTTGCAAATAGCGCATCTGTCGGCAAGTTGATACCTCTCTTCTTCAAATTATCCAGGGTTAGAATCTTCTTGTAAAAAACCATCCACATGAAGCGAGGTGTCTTAGTCTATATTGCGCATGATGAGTGGTTGGGTGGATTTGGTGTATTTACAATAAATATTTCATATGATCACATAATTTAAATACTTTTAAACTTAAAATAAAAAAAAATCAAACTAAATAGCGTGTAATATCAAGTAAATCATTTAATTTATCATATTGGTATTGGTAATTGTCCATAAATTATAAAATATTGAACTGATCAACATGGTCTGAGCCCGATAATAACCAAACTTCAAGAAGAAACTAAGCATAAGACAAACGTTTTGGCTTGCCAAACGTCTCATTTGCCTAGAGGTTGTGAGCGTAAATAGCTTTTTTACCTATAGTTGCAAATTACAATTCCAAATTGATGGAAGGAATGAAGGTTGAATCGATGGTAGTTTTAGATGGTGTCGTTTTGGGAAGAGAACTATCTTTTTTCTACCATTCGTCTATTAGTTATGCTTAAGTGTACCTCCAATTGTCTAAGCACACCTCACAAGTCACAACACAATCCTTTGATCGAAATTGAGAGAAATTTTTGTGGTGGATTGTGGATTGTCTATGCTACATGTTAGAGTTTCAATGGTTGAGGTTAAAAAGTTGGGTGGGTTGTGGGTCAACCACAATCCACCCGCACCCACCCAATCTTTTGTGGGTTACTTATTTCACAACCCACACCCACCCATAGAAACCACCCATATGATGTAATGAGTATGTCAATTGCGGGTGGATTTGAGTGGATTTGTGGGTTCAACAACTCAATGTTCACCCCTAGGAAAAGCTCAACTGGAAGCCTGAGAGACATCTCGTTCAAAGGCGGAGACCTCAGTCCTGTTTGCGGTGGATGACTTTTCAGAAGCCTTGGGCTAGGGGTGGGCATCCGGTTCGGTGAACCCGAACCGAACCGGACCGAAACCGAATTAAACCGAACCGAAACCGAATTATTGTTGTTCGGTGACCGAAACCGAATTAAACCGAACCGAAACCGAATTATTGTTGTTCGGTTCGGAATTCGGAAGCCAAAACCCTTTGTTTCGGAAACCAGGTGTATGCCGACCGAAACCGAATTCCGAACAACCGAACCGAGAAACCGAACAAAAAATTTAACCCACAATACTACAACCCAACTGACCACTCAACCTCTCACAAAGCCCAATTCTTTCACAGCCCAAATCAAACACAAATCCCTCACAGCCCAAATCAAACAAAGCCCAAAATTAATCCCTTAAGCCCACAACTTCTCCCTCCCTACTGCTAACCTAACCCTAACAAAGAACACCAAATCCTTGACCCAAGCCGCCAACGACCATCATCACCGCCGTCCGCCGGATCCTCCTCTCATCCGCTGGCTTTGCCGCCAACTCCTCCTCGCCGGCCACTAGATTTCGATGCCATTTCCCCTCTCTCCGCTCCCTTCTCCTCCCTGAGATAAAAAAAACCCAAATCCAAATATAAAACCCCAAATGCATCAAAATCAATATTGAAAATCAGAACTTTCTTCTCCAAAATCCAAGCTTTCTACTCCTGAATCGAAAAGAGCGACGATGCTACTGAAACTCGAAGGTGAAAATCAAACAGAAAACGACATGCATGCTTGGATCTACAACCATACTGACCTCTAACATTCAATCGTCGTACCCGCCTGCCGCTGCAGCTTTCTGTTCGCCGTCGAGTCGCGAGTCAGAGGAGGTACCGCCGTCGCAGCCCGCTGTTTCTGCTCACCGCTGAGTCACGAGACGGAGTAGATACCACCGCTGCTTTCTGCTCGCCGGCGAGTCGCGAGTCGGAGGAGATACCGCCGTCGCAGCCTGCTGTTTCTGCTCACCGATGAGTCACGAGACGGATGATATTTCACCGCAGCACCGTCGCTTTCTGATCTACATCGATTGCGTTTGTTGGAGGGGGGAGAGAGAGGGAGAAATGGAGAGACATGAGGGTTTGGGGGTGTATGGGAGAGAGAGAAAGTACAGTGGTTTATAAAAGGGTAGCAGGCAAAAACGGGGGGCAGTAGGGCAGCAGTAGCAATTCGGTTCAGGCCCTTCGAACCGAGCCGAACCGAGTTGTAATTCGGTTCGGTCGAACCGAACCGAATTACAAATCGGTTCGAATTCGGTTGGGGCGTTGGGGACTTCGGAAAATCGGCATATCCTAGTTCGGTTCGGTTTGAACCGAACCGACCGAACGCCCACACATACCTTGGGCTATCCACTCCCTTGTTGCCGCCGTCTTCCTCTTTGCCCTCACCATTGCTCAAACTATCTACACTATACAATATCCATCCCTACTACCATCCCAGGGATTCCTCCCCACCACCTATGCTTTCTCCAAAATCCCTCTCAATCGAACTGCAGCCAATTCTGCAGTTCAATATTATTTCCAGAAATAAGTGGTACAGCTCATTTTACAATACTCCACAGTTTGGTTGAACCAAGCCTTGGCCTCCTGAATTTCCCAATTGAGCGTGGTGGTCCGGGTCTGGGCATTGCATCATTGGTCCTCTGTCCCTGTTTTCTTCTTTTGTGCCGTCTTTCATTTTGTTGGAATGAAATGCGTTCAAGAAGAATGAATCATATCCTCCCATCTCATCAACCACAGTTTCCTTTGTGCTTATTTATTGGTGTACAATCATGCTGCTTTCCATCGTTCATTTAACTACAAGTTTCCTTGTGGCCAGCCTTTGTACTAAAATCAGGCACAATCGACCGGAACATATCAATGAACATTTGAAAGGTGACCATTTCTTTCAAGTTATTTACGTTTGTTGGCTGGCTGATTCCCGAGAGATCAGTAATGAGTACAACATAGTAATAATGAAGGACTCAGACATAAATCACACCCTCATCTACACATGGCCTGGCGGGGCTACTCTCTATTCTTCATGGTATAGATACAAGCCAAGTCCAAACCTAGCACACGCTCTGCAGAAAGCTATTTCTTCAGCTGCTGCTACAGGATCAGCAGTGTCGCCCTCGATCGGTGACACTGTGCCACTTGACTCGCGGTGTGCCTGCATCAGTAACATATTACATCAGTCAGTCAAAAGGAAACCGCAGACTTCTCTGAATTTCCTTAGCCAAGTATTTCATTGCAATATCGCCAATCCACATTTGTGGTTCATTTTTTCCCTTTTACCTCTCAGGTACCTATTGCCAATTTCCTTTTAGTCAAGCTCCTCATTGTTATTCCATATATGTTCTAAGCAGCCCAAGGATCAATAACGACCAGTAATTCACAGAACTATGAAGAACAAACATCAGGTCCTAACTCCAAACTTGGCAGGTCACGTATAATATTCAATTACCACCTACACCAAGTACAGAACACATCCTGAACTATATGCATTACTTTTAGTCCTAGGATTAGTCCATCATTCGGCATTCAGATTGTCATCTATGAATTACATTTCTCACAAGGCAAAGGAAGGAGCTCATCGGTGGCCCTATTGGTACTTCTATGAATTACATTTTTCACGAGGCAAAGGAAGGAGCTAATCGGTGTCCCGATAGGTTATAAACCAAAACCACTTAAGAAGGTTGTCATCAACTGCTGTTATAAGCCAAGAACCAGAACACCATTCAAAGTATAACCTAGTATACTGACAACAAGTAGTGCCGTTGGCTGGTATCCTTGATACTTAACCAATCGCCAATTTTGCCACACAGCTAGAAAGGGGCAGATAATGCATAGTAAGTACAGTACAAGGAATCAGAATCATACCTCTCCGTCGGATCCGCGTATGGTAACACGGTAAACCACAGTAACACTACCATTGTCTGAGAATATAACATCCCTTATTTCTCCGCACCATCCTATCCAATTGGCAATCAACAATGTCATTATTACGTAGTGAAGAAATTCTAAAGTCTGCCTTAACAAAAGATAACTTAAAGCGCAAACAAGAAACAGCTCGATTTAGAGACCAAAAGATTACAATTTCTGCAGGATAACTGTGTCAACTATCACCACATATAGGCGCATCTTCCAGCAATAATATAGTAACAAAATTTATCTCCCTACTTATCATATGGCAATATATGGTACTGCTGCACACCAGCATGGATAGGATCACAGAACCATCAGAATGCTAACTTGGCAGTGAAACGAATTGAAGGTGTAAAAGAGGCTACAAGTATATGCTGTGTTCTCAGCCCATTTGCGACGGAACAGACCCACACAAAAGAGACAGGAACTCAACAAGAAGCACAAGCAGTGGCAGGTGACAAGTTTGCAAATTCAACATTTGGAAGCATTGTATGCGGCATCTGGTCGGACATCTTTAGAAATTTGAGGAACTAGAACTACAAAGTGACCATCAAAACTTACAAAAAGGGTATATACAAACTGTTGATAAGGGAGAAGTTAGGGTCAAATAGAGGAGTGAAGCAAACTAAATCCTGATTTTTAAGTGCCAATGAAGAATGTATCAGGCCTGAATGATGAGATAGCAGCATGAATGAAATGAAAGGGAGAAGCAGAGAACAATGGCATACCTGGGGCATAGAAGCTTAACATGCGGTTGGCGTGGTACCTATGAAAGAGGATCAATTACAAGAACAGATCAGTGGTGGTGTATTAGGGATTTAGGAATACTAAGGTCACCAACAAACTGCAGATTTGGGAAAACCCAATACCATGGAATGGATGTTGAAGGTTGGGAAGGCTTGATTATGTTGTCCGGGATCCTCTTGTTCAGATCACGTAAGATCTCGGCGAGTGGCCGAGTTATACAAGAAGATTGGGAGAAAGAAAATGATTTGTCGAGAGGCACCACATAATTGGAATTAGGTACGTTCTTCTTCTTGATGCTTCCATCATTGCTGCTGCTCCCTGCTCCAGCGCCAACTGCATACACGAGCCGCACCTTGCCGAAACCACCAAACTTACCGCCGGTCAACTTACGAAACCCAGGCGGCAATGGCGGGGATAGCGCAGGTGAGATTGATTTCGCCACAAGACAGCTGCTGCCATTGAACTGCACAGCCATGCTTTTCTTCCCTCTAGTTTTCGTATCTGACGAGACGACCGACCACTCAAGCCGCGATGTTAATTCTCCGTCCTACAAGAATCGTAGCCGACTCTTTGTCTCTTCTTATTTTTTTGGTGCGTCTGAAGCAATGGAATTGGAAGGCGACTTTTCCTCTTTGTGGAAAAATAATCTCAGTCCAACTACTCTTCTTTCGTCCTTCTTTTTCCAAGTTGGCTGGTTTAGCAAATGCCATGCGGGCAAATCTAAGCTTAGTCCTGGCCTCCTGGGTTGTTGAGTCAATTGGTATTTGGTAGGTAGGAAACTTGGCATCAAAATTAGAATTATCGTTTCTTTTCATTTGTATCTCATTGCAAGTGGAGAGAAGCAAAATTAGCTTTGTTTAATGTTCAATTCAGAGATAAATCTGGAGATTAAGGTTAGAATTTTGGTACGAGAACTCGAACTGGTTAACAAAAAATCTCATTTCCAAACCATTTTAGAGAATTTGAAACACATGGTGAAAGTTTTTTGGTTTGTTAAAATAAAAGAATTTTTTTTTATAATGGTGATATAATTTGTTTACTTTTAAGAATTTTTTTTTGTTAAAATAAAAGAATTAGCACGCTTTTCTCGCAAATTGTCAATTTGCTGAGCAAAATGTCGAAAGAGGAGTCTTGTAATTATATTCTTTTGCTAAGAAACCTTTTTGAATGTTGATTTTTTTTTTCCAAGGCAAACCCAAAGGAGTAATACAAGACTCAATTACAAGACATACTGCAACCAAGTGCAGTAGTCCATATGCAACCAAAATATCGATGAAAGAGCATGCTTTGCCATTACTTGTGAAACTTGTTGAAACTCCAAGGAGTGAAAAAACACTTAAATGAAGATTAAAATGAGTGGATTTCCTCTAAGATTGCCTCTGCCGAGAAGGAGCGAGAAGGAAGCTTTATTTGAATTAGCGTGTCGAATGACTAGTTGAGAGTCGCCACAAAAACAAAAATTTAAAATTATGCATTAGGCACAACCTCATAGCATCAGGAAGGCAAGAACTTCAACTACATAAGCTGATGTGCGACAAGAAGTTATAACACTACAAGAGAACCCACGTATAGCGGCTAATTGTTGAGGCAAATATTGTATTTGCCGCTAAAAGAATATTATAAGCAACATATATATAATTGGCCTCAATAGGTACCATTATGTGCCTCTAAAAGTATTACTTATGCAACACATATAATTTGCCTCAATAGGCACAATTATGTGCCTCTAAAAGTATTAGATATACTACACATACATAATTTGCCACTATAGCAATTAAGTTTAGAAACTCTAAAAGCTTTGTAACGACTAATAATTCTTTTACCGCAATAAATATTTTATATTTGTCGCTATAACTAGGGATGGCAATGGGTCGGGTTGGGGCGGATTTTGTCAAACCAAATCCCAAACCCATGGGTTTATCCGCCAAAAAAACCCGGGGTAAAACCCGCTGGGTTTGAAAAACTCAAACCCAACCCAACCCGCTGGGTATCCGCGGGTTTATGGGTACCCGTGGGTTTTTGTGGTAAAAAATTTACAATAACAAGTTTCTTTCAAAATAAAAGTTTAACATCAATTTTCTCATACAAATTAATCATACAAAAAACACCAATCTAGAGCATACAAGCAAACCGCAAATGATCAATACAAATTGTTCAAAATTAAAGATAAACATCTATAAATAATAAGATTAATTGAAAGCTTCTTCCTCGTCAACTAAGTTTCTTCACTCTCCACTTCATAATATCAACTTCATTCTAAACAATTAGAAAGAACAAATTATACATGTCTCCACAAAACATAAAGAATATTAGTTGTTTAAGGAAGATATATTATTTAGAATACTAAATATACCGGAAAAGTGATTGGATCGAGTGGGTACCCGTGGGTTCGGATTTTGTTGTCATCCCTAGCTATAACTATCCGACTATCCATACAAGAAATTTCACCAAATGAAAAGTGATTGGGAGGGAAAAATAAGAAGGAGCGGGATTTTCATTTTTTTCGTTTTGGGCTGGCGCGCTCAGTTCCCGCTTTCCATTTCAATTTTTTCATTTTCATCTCCCACTCCCAGACCTCTTCCTTGAAAATCCCCAATTAGAAGGAGAGAGAGCATACCATCGACAACAACACCCACACCACCAATCAATCTATCTTCATCTCCCAACCCTTCTCCCCCTTATCGCTGCGCTTATTGCTGGCTCAAACCCTAGATTTCTCCGTTTCGCGCCGCCCTCCGAAACCTTCCTCCTCCAGGCGCAAGAACCAGAAGGCTGCATCTCCTTCCCGCCGGCGGCCTTTGCATCAATCCCTGGCCACCTCTTCCTAATCCCTCCATCATCAATCCATTCAATAGAACAGGAATCAAACTTTGAAATCTCCTACGATGAGCATAACGACGACAGTGGAGAAGTCTTGCAATGAAAACTGCGAGACAAGATCTTATGGAGATGATAATGGCAAAGATAGAACAATCGCGAGACCGATCCGGTAGAGATTCCTTCTTGCGACATTGGGTCGATATGAAAACCGACCCAATCTCTGGTCTCCTGTCCAGCGATGGCGCCGATTGACGGTATTGTTTTTTTACCAGTTTACCAGTTCCTAAGCTAAATATTGGGTTGTGGGGAGGGGGGGGGGGGGGGGCGGGGTTGGTTTCTCCATTGTTCTCATCCGGTTTCAATTTGTGGCGGTGGCTGTTAGAAGATGTGATTGGCTGGTGCTGGTGCTTGCTTTGTCACTTGGAGAAGTAGTTTGTAAAGGGATCAACGATGGTAACTTGGATGTCTCTCCTAGAGAGCTTAGAGTAATGGTGAGTGATGTTAAGTTTGAGTAGCTTAGGTGCTTGGCTAGTTATATTTATATTATGTTTTTTGCATTCAATTTGAAGGAACTGAGTTGATTGCTTGGAAATGTTTGATGTTTGCCACTGTAGTTTTTTCAAAGTCCCTGCTGCAATTCCCTGAGCAAGCTTGTAGCTTAGCAAACTTGGCTAGTCGATTGCAGGCCAGGTTGTTTGATGTTTTGTTTTCCCTTGTCATACTCTTTTTTCTTTGGTTTCTCTGTTTCAGTTCATGCTGCTGGTAGTGCTCTGTGCTGGCTGCAATCTCAGGGTGCTCTACCAGATTGTGAAGCTCTATTTCTACTAACCCATAGTAAGTATGTGCATTGTATTATCTTCCCTAACTCTGTTTATATAAGGGATGGGTTTGAAATTTGCATTTTTGAAATTTGGCTGTCGTGTGCTGTGTGCTTTCTTTTGGGACAAAATAGAGGGAGCTTGCTTCATGCTTCTGATTTGCCCCCTGTTTGGGCTTATGTAAATTGCTTTGTTCAAGCTTATGTAGACTGCTATGATCCATATTAAAGTTCTTAGATGAATGATTCATGAGCTGCATCGGTGTCCCTTTTTTTATGACTATGAACTGGATTGCATGCTTGTGCTAGATTTTTATGCTCAATAATCATTATAATCATAGTCTAATTGCAAGTTAGTTTGCACGTATGTTTTGGGACTATAGGAGCTGCTACTGTAATGAAATTTGGTCCCTCAAGGAACCACCTTGTGAATGAATGAATAGGTTATGGAATTTCGCAACTTTTTAACTCAATGATTCTGTTGAATTAATATTGTAATGAACTTCCTCGGCAGAGTGGTCTGGAAAACTTCCTCGACGGCGAGATCTGGATGGTCGTCGTCCACAGATCGACTACCTTCTTCAGCTCTGAATGGCCACGACCACCGCTCTTCTCCTCCGATGGGTTGTTGAAGGACTTTTCTAGTTTGCTTGGGAAAGAGCTAGTGGGTGCGACGACGGAGGATTTGCAGCGACGAGAAAAAGAAGGGGAAGGGGAAGTCTAAGTGGCGGATAAAAAAAAGATTGTAGGGGTTTTCAATTAATTAAAAGAAATGGGCTATTTTCACTTGATATTTTCATTTATTATTTTTATTATTTAATTAATTAAAATTTTGCCACGTAAATATCAATCATTAGTCCAGTCAACATCGATAGTTAATTCGTTAAAGTTTTGGACCGAATGGCTATTTCTCTGTATTGTTTTAAAGATGACTATTATTGTCAAGAAGTGGATAATTATGGCTATAAAGATGTATTTTGTCCTATAATTAAAATTATGATTTACATATAAATTACCATATTTTATTTTACATCTAAAAAGAAATCCAATTCGTTGAATCTAAGAACAATTTTACAAGCACAAACTTTGGCCGCAAGTAGATTAATTAAAGGCACATGTATTAGCTTCAATAGGTAATTTCACAAGCAAATCTATATTCCTCTAAAGATAATATTAGAGGCAAATATTTATGTCTCTAATAGAGGATACAAAGGCAAAATAAAAATAACATTAGTAACTAAAATATTAGCTGCAAAATCTATAATCAGCAACAAATAATATATGCCGCTATATTTGCCTCTGTAGGGCTATAGCCACAGGAGTTTTTGAGGCAAATGTTTTGTTTGCCTCTAAATATATATAGAGGCAAATAATGGATATATAGAGGCAAATTTTCTTAGTCGCTATATAAGGATTTTCTTGTAGTGTAAACTCGAGGTCTTACTACTCTACTACACCTAATCAATCCAAGTATAACTCGATCAAACGATACAACATAGAGGTGACCCTCAAGGTCGTATTCTCACGGGTTATTAGATATTTTTGTTACTTCAATGTTTTTTTTTTACTATCTAACCAAACAATTGAATGGTTAATTGCTTCTAACAAACAAGATAACTAACTTGCAAATTAACGACTAACCCAATTAAAGAAGAGATATTTGAGATAGGTATATGAAGTCAACAGACTGAAAATTAATGTAATTTTCGTATTCCTTTATAATGAAAAAATCTATTTAGCTAGCATCCAAGTCAATGGTCATGCATTTTAAGATGCACTTCTAGGTCATACTTGGCTCCATGGTCATGCAACCACTAATCCCCATAACATTTAGCAAAAATTTCTCAACTTGGACAAAAAAAGACAAATGAGACTTCAGTTCTAAGGTCGTGCAATTAAAATATCATTTTACTTGATATCGATGTGGGTTCTAGCCTTGACCTAAATAAATGGTCACTAGTTTAGGTCAAGAATGAGACAATCAATAACTTCGTCTAAAGCTAGAGATTAACATTAACTAAACATCAAATAATCATAAAGTGGTGAATCAAGTTATTCTATTAACATTTGACTCATAACCAACTATATGGGCTATGGTTCAATTTAACCAAATACAAGGTGACCACCACTTGAAAGGAGAAGAATTACACTAAAAAGGGAAGAGATACATAATCTTCTTAACTCCAATATGAAAACACAGCTTTAACCTCTAAAGTTGAATGCCTCATTTTCTTCTCTAAACTCTCTCTCTTCTATCCTAGGTAGTTTTGTTTGTATAACTATTGTCCTCTCTTGATATCACTCGGAAATATCAAGGAGAAACTCTTACTCTTTCTCTAGGGATGTTATTAATTGAAAATCTATCCCCTCCTTTGAATTCCTTCGACTATTTGTAGAATAATTGGACTCAACCTAGTTCATGGGTGACATTCATGGAGGTTCACGCCCATGAACTGCGATGAACGCCCGTAATTTTTGAAATACTACGGTCTCGTCCTAAACTTCTTCTGAAATTACGACTTAATGACCATGATATTTTCTCATGGTCGTGAACTCGAAGGTCGTAGTCTTCGACAAGTGCCTGCGAGTCTGACCGCTAGAGCTTCTTCTTTTGGCTTCTCTATTGCTAGGGTTCACAGCCTGACCATAAAAATCTCGAATGTCAACTCTAGATCACGAATTGAAATTATGACAGTTATATGTTGTATAAGATTGTGAACTTCTCTTCTTGCATCTCCTTAAGCTTGTTGCCCTAAACTCAACTTTAATTCATCTAAACCAACACATCACATGCCTAAACATTTCCATATATAATATGAAGTGATCCTAGGCTAAAATGCAAGGTTTAATGATCATTTAAACTCAATAACAACATGAGAGAACCTAGACAGGGAAAGCTAATAAAACCTATTTTAGATGTTATCCTGTGTATCTGAAATGCCTCCAAAGAATTTACCAAAAGCAAAGAAAATTGATCCATCACTTGGAAAAGCGTCAAATCTTATTGCACCTGGTTAACCTTCATAGCACCACCAAATCGAAAAAGGTTGCCATTTTTATGATAGGGAACATCCCGACCACATATTTAAGGACCTTCGGGCATGGAAGCATGCTTTAAAGATCTAAACAGCATAAGAGTATTCCTTTGAAAAGCAAAAAGAATTCGTTTTTTATGAAAAAGAAGAAAAAAATATAGATATTGTGCTGTCTTAGTTCTTCATGCTTTCTGTCTCTCTATCGTTCACCATTCCTCTATGCGATCTATTAGTTGATGGGATAATACTTGAGCTTGGAGCACAATTTTGGGGGAGAAGAACAAGGTTTTCCATACTAAATTTGGGGGGAGTAGTCACATAGAGGTACGACGATGGTCCAAACCAACATTAGCCATCCTTAAGTATCTTACAATAAAAAAATAATGTTTCTATATTCCATGGGTCCACAACATACGAGCATTCTCTAGATGCAACCAGTTTACGATAGTGTAGGACTCATCGTACTGGTAAGAATCAATGCACGACTCTCAAAAGAGAAAACATCCAGTTTAAGCGGAACATGGATATTGCTTTGAAATTCCAAAACTTGATATCTAGATAGTTTTGTGGAATGAGTTAATTTCAGTCGATAAGAAGTGATACTCTATTTTCACCTTGTATTGATCGGATTTGCCATATGCATATAAAATTTTCCTAACACATGGTTGAGGGTAGAAGGATATATAAAATTCGTTGGAGTGTTGTTGGGTGGGAAAAACACTATAATCTATCAATGATCCGAATGGTTATAGTTTGCTAGATAAGATATGATATCATTGGCTACTCTAATACGTCATTGAGCTGTAGTGAGGTGTTGAAAGGGGGTTATGATGGTATCCAAGGGTCATGAAGGATGGAGATTGACGAGTCTTATCTAACTTTCCATCTTAGACCCTTCATGCATAGATCTCTCCCCCATATAACCCTTTGCCAAGTCCAAGAAGGCCATGAGCTAGCTCTAGCATTTAGAAAATTATCATTGGAGGGTATCAGGCTTTATATATTACGCCAAATTACATTTCGGTTATAATAGTAGCTTCTATACTTGTTTGGATAACATAGCTACATTTAATCAACCATTGGGATGTGTATTGCAACTGTGATTTGTCTAAGATTTTTACTTGTAACGAGGATGCAAAGACCACAAATTGCATCAAGAAGAAAAACATTCTATGCATTGCTCTTAGTCTCCAGTTTCCTTGATAGTATGTGTCACATCATTCATCAATATAAAAAACATACAAACATCTAAAAATCTACTGGTCTTGGTACAATGAAATAAATTTTCAGTGTTTTGGAGTAAACATGAGGGAAAACATATTTAAAGTAGGTCATATGTTAATTCTCCAGGCTAGGTGTACATCTTTTTCAGATATCCAAACACGTTCCTAGGCATTTCCACTTGATTTGCATAATAGTGGAATGTGTGAGGTACATGTGTGTAAGATCATGCACGAGTGCAATTCGATGGATCTGCTTTCAAAACGACTCACATAGCATAGATACGTTGGCACAACAAACTCTAGTGCAATGGAGAGATTGTTAGTTATGGTGACCAAAAGTTAAGTAATGTCAAGTGTATTTTGTGAGAGATTAGTTATCTATGTGATAAAATTAAAAAATAAAGGATGGCCATTTGTTTCTTTATTTCAATTCTGTTGTATTTGAATCACTGTTATTAAAGTCGACTTGAACCAGCCCCTGTAAAAATAAGCATATGTTCCAATAAAATATTTTTTTCATATATAGTTTTGGAAAAACCTCTTTGTAATTCCAAGTTTTAACCAAGACACATGATTTTGTCTCTCTAAACACGTACCCCTTCCACACGTGGCCATCTCAATACCTTGCAAAATGTTTGACCTCTTGCTATGTATTGTCCATTATTTTTCTTTGTGAAAAGGATTGAGATCTCATAGAACAATAGCATGTTCAACCGGCTAACAAAATTTTACACACTAATCCACGAAATGTGCCTTAGACTAGTAAAGAGAAATGGACACACATGTTTGTGCAACCACAATAATTCATGATAATATATTAATAAGAAAATGATATAAATTAAAGTATAAGAAGTTGACCATCAGCCTCTAGGATGGTCAGTGTTTGTCTTGCTGTTGAATGTGACCAACTTTGCGGAGGAAGGATTTGTTGAGGAAGTTTTGGCCGTTGGTTGTTGCAAGATCGGGGCGGTCGGCCTCCGACATGGATCCTCTCCTCGTCTTCCTCAAGCTTACCCCAGGAGAGTGCACTAGTTGTTGCTTTGCCGTATGAACCCCTATTGCTACCGCCACCGACACAAATCCCATCACTATGTACACTGGGGCGTACTCTCCCGTCAAGGAATACCTGTACATATACACAAATCATATTAGATTCGGAATCACCATCATCATACTCATCATCATCATAGTAACCCGGCCCGAGGCGGTCAATACTTGTTGTAAGGGGCACTATTGCTTGTAGGAGATGATGAGTTACTAGGCGGGGCCAATTTAGGAGTAGTAGTAGATGCCAAGCATTTCTTCTGTCCTGATGATCCGATCGTAGTGGTGATGATCGACAGTTTTGGTGACCATCTCCAACTCCTTATCTGCATGCCCATTGCATAAAACCCATTTAGTAAAGTGAGTCATATAATATTGTCATCATAAATATGTAGTAGGGAGAAAGGTTACTGACGGTGGTTGCCCTCAAAGCCATATCGATGAATTGGACAACCAATACAAACTCAACTTGATCTCTGCTAGTCAGGTGGAGGGAGGGGTTATTGGGTTGCGGGGATGATCTTCTTCTGTTGCTGGAATATTTATAGACATATTAATTAGGCATGGAGGGCATGAGAAACAGAATGTTGGGGAAGAGAGGCATTTGTGTGATTTTCCTTGATTTCCTGCTTCAAATGTAACTATTTTCCATTGTTAGTTG